ATGTATGTGGTGTTGTGTGATGTGTGTTGTGTGTTGTGTGTGATGTGTAGTGTGTGTATGTGGAAGTGTGGTGTGGTGGTATAGTCTCCGTTTGTCTCATCATGTGTTCGTGTCGAGTCTAGTCTCCTGCCCGTTCACTGGTCTACTCTCCACATAGCTTTGTCATACTTCTTCTTAAAGCTATATATGGATCCTGCCTCCCCTACATCACTCTCCAGACTAATCAACTTCCTGGCTGACGAGAGAGAGAGAGAGAGAGAGAGAGAGAGAGAGAGAGAGAGAGAGAGAGAGAGAGAGAGAGAGAGAGAGAGAGAGAGAGAGAGTACACTCACCTATTTGTACTCACCTATTTGTGGTTGCAGGGGTCGAGTCTTAGCTCCTGGCCCCGCCTCTTCACCTGTTGCTACTGGGTCCTCTCTCTCCCTGCTCCATGAGCTTTATCATACCTTGTCTTAAAACTATGTATGGTTCCTGCCTCCACTACATCACTTGCTAGGCTATTCCACGGCCTGACAACTCTGTGACTGAAGAAATACTTCCTAATATCTCTCTGACTCATCTGTGTCTTCAACTTCCAATTGTGACCTCTTGTTTCTGTGTCCCCTCCCTGGAACATCCTGTCTTTGTCCACCTTGTCTATTCCGTGCAGTATTTTATATGTCGTTATCATGTCTCCCCTGACCCTCCTGTCCTCCAGTGTCGTCAGGCTGATTTCCCTTAACCTTTCTTCATAGGACATTCCCCTGAGCTCTGGAACCTTGTGTGTGTGTGTGTGTGTGTGTGTGTGTGTGTGTGTGTGCACAAGCTGTGGAGAGGCAGGTTAGCACGACCCACCACCTCCCTGATCCATGCTCGCGTGCTGCACACACAGCCTCGTCCCTCGACAATATAGATTTCAGACGCGATTATTTTTAGGCTGCTCCTGGGAATTGTGTCATATAACTTCACTGTTTTCAATGTCGATTTTCTTCAAATATATTTTTTTCCGAATATGATAAAAGAATAGAAAGACATTTATACTTGCAGGTAAATTATCATTACGACTTTCCTGCATAAATAATAATAATAACATATTTACTACCAGTACATGTACAAGGTATACAAGTACATGTACAAGGTATACCAGTACATGTACAAGGTATACAAGTACAAGGTATACAAGTACATGTACAAGGTATACAAGTACATGTACAAGGTGTACAAGTACATGTACAAGGTATACCAGTACATGTACAAGGTATACAAGTACAAGGTATACAAGTACATGTACAAATTATACAAGTACATGTACAAGGTATACAAGTACATGTACAAGGTGTACAAGTACATGTACAAGGTATACCAGTACATGTACAAGGTATACAAGTACATGTACAAGGTATACAAGTACATGTACAAGGTATACCAGTACATGTACAAGGTATACAAGTACATGTACAAGGTGTACAAGTACATGTACAAGGTGTGTGTGCTTATATACTAACGTCAGGTGGAAATGGGACGGGTAGTAGACGAGAGCATAGTCACTGGTAGGCGGGATTCCCCAGTGGATGTAGGTCCTTCCCAGAGAGATGGGTTAGTTGTAGTAGTAGTTGTCGTAGTCGTGAAGGTTATGTACATGTCCTCAGAATCAAGATTCCATGATGCTGCAGTGTCTGACAAGGTATAAATGGTCTTCCTGAACACCTGTCAGCTCACACACCTGACGCTTTTCCCAAACAACTGACGCATTTCCCAATAATTCCTTAAATAATTGAAATCACTCTTTAAGACCGAGCTTCACACATCTAGAAAAATACAACCCCCCCATACACACACATCCACACACACACATGTAGAGGAAATGGAACAGACTGGATAGTGAGGTAGTGGAGGCAGGATCAGTATATAGCTTTAGGAAGAGGTGCGATAAGGCTTTTGGAGCAGGGAGCATGTGGACCTAGTAACAACCAGCGAAGAGGCAGGACCAGGAGCTGTTAACTCGACCCCTGCAACCACATATAAGTACATATAGGTGAGTACACACACACACACACACACAAAGACTATTGTGTATCTGTGAAGACTGTTGTTAGCGTCTCCTCTCAGGTTATTACTCGTCAACAATATCAGTTTCTCTCCCATTAGTTAATATTTTGTACTTCCCCTCTGTTATTTTCCCACTATTTACTTATTTCAGGACCACTCCTGTAAGCTGTTAAACACTTCAGTTCCCTATATCCCATCGGAGGGATAAACGCTGTATCAATAAACGACTCCACAGTAACTATTGTCATGCATAATTGATCTTGTGTCCTGTATCCCTATGTGCTTTGCATAGTTTAAACTCAGTGATCATTAAACTTGAACTTTCCAGCAGGATATTTAGTTAAGCAAGAGAGAGCTCAGGTTCTATTTCGGGTTCAGATGTGAACCGTATGTGTACAAGAAAGGTATAAAATACCGACAATATGAAAGTTAAGACACATGTGCAACATCTGGATATCTTTATTGTAGACGTTTCGCCCTCCACTGACGCCTATATAACCGCCAGTCTTCTTGCCTTTGCTCCAGATTCTCCTCCACCACGATGCTGTGAACACTAACTCCAAGGCCGAGGGACTGATTACCTCATCTTTTGTATATAGTTCTACTGTCTTCCTATTATGTCCTAGAATCTGTATTGATAAAGCCACTGGATGGCGAAACGTCTACAATAAAGATATCCAGATGTTGCACATGTGTCTTAACTTTCAAACCGTATGTGTAGCTGGAGTGCGTGATGTCATGAGAACTCGCGTGTGCAGTGATAATGGCGGGTTTCTAACATTAACGATGTTTAAAATGGTGTAGAATACTGACAAGCATGAGCAAAAGAACATAAAAACATTGCAGTAGGGTTACTGGCCCATTTTGTGAGGAAACGTTTCGCCAGGAGTGGCTGCTTCAGTCCTAATATAGTGGCAGTAGTCAGGTGGAGTGTCTCGTGGGTAGCAGTAGTAGTAGTAGTAGCAGTAACTGTGATAGTAACTGTGGTGAGACGGGATGGGTTAGAGAAGGATCTGTTGACATCATGTTACAGTGGTCTCCAGAATGGGTAATATCTTGTTGGATACAGTGTAACTTCCGGACTTTTGATGTATAGTGTTACAGAGTTGAGCTGGATCATGACCCAGGCAGCAACAGCATCAACAGCTGCAGCAGCAACAGCTGCTCCTATGTCTTTGCCACCCCTGGGCCGATCAAGCTCCAGTGACGGCCTAATTGCAAGTACTGTTGCATGAACATACAAGGACCTTACAATGACAAGAAAACTGACGGTGACGACAACATAACAAATCAAATATGACCAAGAAAGGACTACCGGCAATCAAATACCAGACCTGCTGCCAGACAAGCGACGTTTTCCACTACACTGAAGTAACTGATCTCCATATCAACTGCACCAGTGTTGATAGGAGGGAAACACAGGAGACATCACAAAATCTACAAAACGAATTCCAAGAAAACTGTCAGGTTGTAGCGACGGTTCTTTTCCCTCAGTGCCAAGTCTCAGGAAGTGAATAGTTAACAGCCAAGAACGATTTTACAGTAACTGACCTCCATATCAACTGACCAGTGTACATTGGGAGGAAAATATGGAAGAAAACGCCAAATTTAACGACAAAACTTCAAGGAATCTGTCAGGTTGTAGTGGCCGGTTTTTTCCTCAGTGCTTTTAAAAAGGCTAAAACATTAACACTAGGTCAGGACCAGTCAACAACAGGACGCAGTCCCGATAAATGGGCCTGGGGAGGCTTTGGACGGATAACAACACTGATTAAACTTTATTCTGTCAGAATGGAAATGAGTTAGAAGTGTGACAGGTGAAGCCGGACTATGACATGAGTGACGTGGGTTTGTAAAGATAAGAGGAAATCTACTAGTAATCAGTGATGATTGCTAGAGTAGCCACTAGGCCATTGCTAGGCGACTGACAGAGACCAGTGGTCGGTGCTTGATGTCAGATGGGAGGACTTCGCCACAAGCGAGTCTCTCCATGCCCAATTAGACATCCCTGAGCTGAATCTGCACTGGAAGACGCTTAGTGACAGACAGATAGACAAACTTGAGACACGACATAACTACTGGACCTCTCTCCTTGACGAAGACATTCGCAGACCCACAAACCAACACAACCTTTAATACTCCTTGCATGATCCTGCTCCTAACCCTATTTACAAATAACCTTTGGATTCTTTGCGATGTTCGTTCTCTGTCCCACTATCGCCTTCGCTGCTGGGTTAAGCCCTGGCTCTATTTCTACAACTAAGAACATTCCTTTCCAGCGTTATTCTTCGTCTGTCCCGTCTTCTCCGCTCATCCCATTGGGATCACAGTGGAAGCAGGAGGAGGCTGGATCACAGTGGAAGCAGGAGGAGGCTGGATCACAGTGGAAGCAGGAGGAGGCTGGATCACAGTGGAAGCACACTGTCTGCACCCTGAAGGAAGAGTGGAAGTGGGAAGTACAGAGCCTGCACTCTGAAGGAAGAGTGGAAGTGGGAAGTACAGAGCCTGCACCCTGAAGGAAGAGTGGAAGTGGGAAGTACAGTGCCTGCACTCTGAAGGAAGAGTGGAAGTGGGAAGTACAGAGCCTGCACTCTGAAGGAAGAGTGGAAGTGGGAAGTACAGAGCCTGCACTCTGAAGGAGTGGGGCAAAGACCTTTGATAGTATTGGGCTAATATGCAGTTGAGCTCCTCCTGTGAGCTATGCAATATAGACAGCCATATTTAGGACCTGAGGGAGTTAACATACTTTATCTATCAAAATGCTAACTGATCCTACTATAATCTAAATACGAAATTAAGTTTAGGTGTAGTAATTTTGGATTACATTTCCTTTCAGCTCCTACAAGTCCAATATAGAATAACTTACAGAGTATAACCCACTTGTCGAAAAATTTATATAAATTCAGAAGAAATTTATTAATTTACGCAATACTGTATTTCATATCAGTGATCCAGAATAAATTCTGACCTTTGGAAATAAATTGTCTTTTCAGGTTGTCTTGATTTATATTAATACACTGAAGGAGAGACCAGGATTTTGATTATGTAAATTTTATATACTTGACAAGTTGGTGAACATTTCTGTCATTGAAGCTCGTGATATTTTGATTTAGAAACAACTGATCTCATTGACTGCGTTGCGGGAATTACATTTCAAAAATATTAATACTGTATCTGTTAGAAAGAAAATATGTAGGAAAGTTAAAACAACAGTGATAAAAGGAGCAACAAAAGTGGTTTTAAACGGCTACAGAAAATGCATTAGGAAAAATAATATTGGTACTTATAAAGACGTTACGAACATTAACACACAGGACATCATCTAGCATCCCAGACTCTCCTTCAGATGTTACAGACGTCACTCACACAGAGCACCTGACGACGTCAAGTCTCCTACACAACCACCATTATGGTCTCTGCTACTCTCCTCGCCACCTGCCTCACCACTGTAGGTAAGTGTGTCTTAATTAACCAATAACAACTTAGAAATAACTCTTAATAAGGTAGGAAACATCATGGCGTCTCTATTTGGCGTCCTCTTGCATCGTTTTAAATGGTGTTGCAAAGAATTCCGATTCTCTTTACTAAAAATTCAATATTGTTAATATATGCTATTTTTTATTTTCTAGAATTACAGGATTACATTCTCACGAAATCGTAATGACACGATTGCAAACAAACCATACCACGGGTGGGGTTAGAACCCGCGATCGGAGAGTTATAAAACTCCAGACCGACGCGTTAGCCACTGTGTCAGCTGCCTACAACAAGATTAATCCAACTAGGTATATTTAAGCACCATAGAAAGGTTAGCATAGGCCACCACTGTGACCATAAATATAAGTTTTACAGACGAATCTCCCGCTAGCGTGGCCGTGACGAACTCTAGCTCAGGTCCCCTCAAATCCGTCAACATGACTCACAGTGGTGCCTATGTTAACCTTCCTATGGTGTAGAAATATACCTAGCTGGATGAATCTTATTGTAGCAGCTGGTCCAGTGGCTAACATTCGGTCTGGAGTTTTGTGACTCTGATCGCGGGTTCTAACCCCACCCGTTCCTTATTATGTGCAGTACGTCTCCCAGGGTCACTAAAAGAACCGAGGAATTATGTATTCGACTGTAACAATAGCAAAATATTAATCATTTAAGGAGAAATATAATGATTAATCTTGCGTCCGAAATCTGGATTCACATTTATTGTTCAGTTAACACCGGAGTGGATTATCAGGAACTTAAAATTACTTCGATAAAGTCACATAAGTAAACTTAAAAGTCACCATTAACCAAATATTCCTTCAGTAATGTTTGAATAAATTGCTTAGTAGAGCGAAAAGTTGATAAGTCACTTATGCAACGTTTTGGAATCATTCTGGTAACGCTTCGCCAGCCAGTGGCTTCATCAGTCCAATACAGAGAACAGTGAAAGGTGAGGAAGAGATTGAGGTAATCATTCAATCGACCTCGAGTCGATGTAATCAGTCCTTCGGCCTCGAGTCGATGTAATCAGTCCTTCGGCCTTGAGTCGATGTAATCAGTCCTTCGGCCTCGAGTCGATGTAATCAGTCCTTCGGCCTCGAGTCGATGTAATCAGTCCTTCGGCCTTGAGTCGATGTAATCAGTCCTTCGGCCTCGAGCCGATGTAATCAGTCCTTCGGCCTTGAGTCGATGTAATCAGTCCTTCGGCCTCGAGTCGATGTAATCAGTCCTTCGGCCTTGGGTCGATGTAATCAGTCCTTCGGCCTCGAGTCGATGTAATCAGTCCTTCGGCCTTGGGTCGATGTAATCAGTCCTTCGGCCTTGGGTCGATGTAATCAGTCCTTCGGCCTCGAGTCGATGTAATCAGTCCTTCGGCCTCGAGTCGATGTAATCAGTCCTTCGGCCTCGAGCCGATGTAATCAGTCCTTCGGCCTTGGGTAGATGTAATCAGTCCTTCGGCCTTGGGTCGATGTAATCAGTCCTTCGGCCTCGAGTCGATGTAATCAGTCCTTCGGCCTCGAGTCGATGTAATCAGTCCTTCGGCCTTGGGTCGATGTAATCAGTCCTTCGGCCTCGAGTCGATGTAATCAGTCCTTCGGCCTCGAGTCGATGTAATCAGTCCTTCGGCCTCGAGTCGATGTAATCAGTCCTTCGGCCTCGAGTCGATGTAATCAGTCCTTCGGCCTCGAGTCGATGTAATCAGTCCTTCGGCCTCGAGTCGATGTAATCAGTCCTTCGGCCTCGAGTCGATGTAATCAGTCCTTCGGCCTCGAGTCGATGTAATCAGTCCTTCGGCCTCGAGTCGATGTAATCAGTCCTTCGGCCTCGAGTCGATGTAATCAGTCCTTCGGCCTTGAGTCGATGTAATCAGTCCTTCGGCCTCGAGTCGATGTAATCAGTCCTTCGGCCTTGGGTCGATGTAATCAGTCCTTCGGCCTCGAGTCGATGTAATCAGTCCTTCGGCCTTGAGTCGATGTAATCAGTCCTTCGGCCTTGGGTCGATGTAATCAGTCCTTCGGCCTTGGGTAGATGTAATCAGTCCTTCGGCCTTGGGTCGATGTAATCAGTCCTTCGGCCTCGAGTCGATGTAATCAGTCCTTCGGCCTCGAGTCGATGTAATCAGTCCTTCGGCCTCGAGTCGATGTAATCAGTCCTTCGGCCTTGGGTCGATGTAATCAGTCCTTCGGCCTTGGGTCGATGTAATCAGTCCTTCGGCCTCGAGTCGATGTAATCAGTCCTTCGGCCTTGGGTCGATGTAATCAGTCCTTCGGCCTTGGGTAGATGTAATCAGTCCTTCGGCCTTGGGTCGATGTAATCAGTCCTTCGGCCTTGAGTCGATGTAATCAGTCCTTCGGCCTCGAGTCGATGTAATCAGTCCTTCGGCCTTGGGTCGATGTAATCAGTCCTTCGGCCTCGAGTCGATGTAATCAGTCCTTCGGCCTCGAGTCGATGTAATCAGTCCTTCGGCCTCGAGTCGATGTAATCAGTCCTTCGGCCTTGAGTCGATGTAATCAGTCCTTCGGCCTTGAATCGATGTAATCAGTCCTTCGGCCTCGAGTCGATGTAATCAGTCCATCTATCTTGTTGTTACTGATGAATTGATGCATCGAATCCAGACTGGGTAACTGATTACCCCAGTCACCTTCTTATAACCATTCTTCGTGTTGGACTGATGAAGCCACTGTGTGGTGATGCATTTCAATAATAAATATAAGTGTTGCATATGTGTCTAATTTGTCAACGAGTCGGTTCTCTAAACAATTATATATATATATATATATATATATATAATATATATATATATATATATATATATATATATATATATATATAATAACATAAATACATATAAATAAAATCACAAAAAAATATTTATCACCTTCACAACATTATCTAATTTCTTCAGCTTCACTGCCAACCAAACTAAAGTTAGAGAGACTTGTCTGTATCACTTATACAAGTCTGAAGTATCATCAGCGCCATAGATTTCGTCTCACACCACCAGGAGTTTTATCCTTTGATCTCAATCAGTCTTCCATTACAATGATCGTTACGTGTTCTCTCTCCTCCGTTCACTAACGTTCCAGTCACTGTTATTTTCTCCTCCGTTCACTAACGTTCCAGTCACTGTTAAATCAAGCGTTGAATTCTTTCTTCAGCGGTTCCGTGCCATGTCTGCCCATAATTTACGTCTGGTTTTTCTTGCACTGAGTTTACTGATAATAGCTTGATTACACTCGATTGCTTGGTTCCGGTCAGGGCTCATTACTTTTACGGTGTCTTCATCCGTGTTAAGCTCTAGTTCAACATGATATTTTTGAAGCAGTTCCACTACAAATAAACCTTTATTTTGCATTAACTTATGATACGATCCTTTAGGACACACTGTAAGAAAAGTATACCACTGCTTATCACTCAGGGGAGTTGTTACAGTGTTACCACCACCTGTGGGGTCAACGGTGGCCTCTGTCTCAACGGGGACCTTTGACTCGACAGGGACCTCTGGCTCGACAGGGACCTCTGGCTCGACAGGGACCTCTGGCTCGACAGGGACCACTGGTTCAAGAAGGACCTCTGGCTCAACAGGGACCTCTGTATCGACAGGGACCTCTGGCTCGACAGGGACCTTTGGCTAGACAGGGACCTCCGGTTCAACAGGGACCTCTGGCTCATCACGGCAGCGGAAGGCTTCTGTTCTTCCCCTGATATCCTGGGAGCAGTGAGTGAGCTTAATCATCAGTACCATCAATATCACCACAATGAAGAGGGATAAACATGAAAGAACGTTGTCGACGTCAAGCGACCCAGCTGACTCCACAATCATCTGCTTCTGCGACTCAACGTAACTGGCTTGGCGTTGACGGTGTCTTAGAGTGAGGAGAGAGCCAACCAAGGGTGCATACTTCCAGTACGTGTCCGGATCAACCTCCAAAGGACGAGGCTCAGCAGGCGAAGAGACGAAGTAAGAAAAAGGGAGGAAATACCACACGTTTTGGATATTATTTCTTGAAGCTGACAGTTCGACCAGCTGTCCATATTCCTTCCGAAGAGTGTTTTCCAGGGCCTCGTTTCTCCTCCACAGATAAACTTGCCAGGATGTCAGTGACATGACCAACCCAACACCAACCACCCAGTACTTAAGACCCATTTTTGATTCTGCAAGGATAACTAGGAGAAACACACTTGAGTGTTATATTCAATTCTTGACCTTGGCTAAAAATAGGAGGAGATTAGCTAGTATAAGAACGTACACCCTAGAGGTTCTAATATGTTAGATGTAATATATAAGTTAGGTTGGAACTATCAGACATCAGAGATTTTCTATATATCCAAAAGTGAGTTGATGATCAGTGGTGAGTAGTGGAAATGATCTGGGTGGTGACAGACATGCATTGTAATGATGAATATGTGTAGAGATGGTAGACGTGTAGTGATGGTAGATGTGTAGTGATGGTAGATGTGTAGTGATGGTAGATGTGTAGTGATGGTAGGCGTGTAGTGATGGTAGACGTGTAGTGATGGTAGATGTCTAGTGATGGTAGATGTGTAGTGATGGTAGATGTCTAGTGATGGTAGATGTGTAGTGATGGTAGAAGTGTAGTGATGGTAGACGTGTAGTGATGGTAGATGTGTAGTGATGGTAGATGTCTAGTGATGGTAGATGTCTAGTGATGGTAGATGTGTAGTGATGGTAGATGTGTAGTGATGGTAGAAGTGTAGTGATGGTAGAAGTGTAGTGATGGTAGACGTGTAGTGATGGTAGATGTGTAGTGATGGTAGATGTCTAGTGATGGTAGATGTGTAGTGATGGTAGATGTGTAGTGATGGTAGATGTGTAGTGATGGTAGATGTGTAGTGATGGTAGATGTGTAGTGATGGTAGATGTGTAGTGATGGTAGATGTGTAGTGATGGTAGATGTGTAGTGATGGTAGATGTGTAGTGATGGTAGAAGTGTAGTGATGGTAGACGTGT